GTAGGCATTCATCCACGCATTGTTGCGTGGATCAAAGCTTTTTTCGAGGATAGGACCTTTGTTGTTCGGGTTCATAACACTTTTTCTAGGCCAAGGAATATGTATAGCGGTGTACCACAGGGCGGAGTATCGTCTCCAGTGTTGTTTAATACTTACAATCATGAGCTTCTTAGTATTCCAAGGTTACAAGGGGTCCCCTGCATCGCCTTTGCTGATGATTTCAAATTATACAGTGAGGTGAAGGATGAGTTTGATCATAGGCAGAGCCTTGAAGCGAGCCTTGAACGAAGTTCATAGATGGTCACTAGAGTGGTCCCTACCTATCTCGAAGGATAAAACCAAAGTAATTCATATTGGACCCAAAACTGCAATCGCAAATTTATGGATTTTGCTTGGGAGATTTACCTTCAGGAGGTTGATTCAATAAGAGATCTGGGCTTTCAAGTCAGATGTGACCTCACTTTTGATGATCACTGTAAATTGATTTCGGATAAAGCCACAAGATCGGTATACAATCTGTTCAGAGCCTTTTCAGTCAGGGAAGTGATTATTCTTTTGAAAGCATATAAATCATTCATCAGGCCTATGATGGAGTATGGAACTGTTATATTTTATCCTTATTTGCGCAAAACAGTTGATCATATGAAGAAAGTACAAAGAATTTCACGCGAAAACTTTTTCTTCGGGCAACCGGCTACAGATATGATCTCGTACCAGACAGTAAGACTCGTAATCTCAGATTGGGACTTTCTTCTCTTGCTTATAGAAGGCGCGAATTTGACCTCCTAATGGCACATAAAATCGCATATGGAAATTGTCGTTTAGATTTTACTTCTCTGTTCCCCACGAGGAGATCCAACACAAGAGGTGGATGTAGCAAACTAGTCATATTCAGATCAAAGCTTAAGATCCGGAGAAATTTTTTCACTTGCCGTGTCATTCATGACATAGATAAGCTTCTTAGAAAACGATTATTTCCTGCTAAGTTGTCTTCGTTTGAGATTGTTCTAAGGAATTATCTACAGTCACACGATGATAGTTACTAACACGGGTTTGAGTACTACTACCTGAATTTTGAGTTGTGTTGACGTACCTAGTTGTTGTTTGTGTTGATTGTTTTATTATGATTTGCCATAGGGGCAACCCTATGTAATAAATGAAATGAAGTGAATAAAACTCTTAACAGTTGAAAGATAAGTAAGCGCTAAGTAAGCGACTGAATCCTTTTAGCTTACAAGATATCAACAATTTCTGCTATGTAGGGTTACCTCTGAAGTTTTTTCAAAAGTTAAGCTTCTTATAACAGGTGAGAACAATCGATCTCTCATCCATCCAAAGCCACTAAAATTGTACCATTGCAAAAACTCATCATTCTGCAAAATTTATAGCCAGATGAAAGAATCAGTACTTTATCCAAAATCTAACAGTTGCCATGTCCGTACTGGCTTGCCGACTTTGGTTCGTCTACTCTTCAAATACATATGTATTCTACCTAGTTTCTAAGCCACAAAAAATTAGAATAAAGATAGTCCAGAATCCAGCCCATTGTAGAATTTACGCTTCCTGTGCTCTCGTCAAGAGCTTGAGTTCATTCACTACAGCCCATGTCTTATGCCACTGCCTTCATTGTTTGGTTTTGGTGGAAACGGTGAGCGTTGTGCGAATACAAACAGATATTCTTAATCACATGTTGATCTCTAGGCAGTGAATGCTGGCGTATTTCGTTACAATCCCAAAAATGATCGTGATTATCTAGTGTACGAGATCTACTTAAAAGACAAACATGTGCTTAAAGGCAGTACATCGGCAGAATAAGACCCGTGACAAAACAAGGTCACAGGGTAGGAGCCCCCATATGGAACCTATCGGCCAAAGTCCGATCTTTCTCTGCCGCCTCTAACCCCCGAAATTCCAACGCGGAAGCAGCGCTCATCTCCTGTCCTCTCCGAACCCGCCCACCCCATGGACGTGTGAATTCCACGGTCAGAGCGCCAGCCGCAATGCTATAAGCATGAGGTCCCGAAACGACTCTGCGTCTTCGCCATGGCGGGCTTCGCGTTCACTCGTCCATGGGGTGGGCGGGTTCGGAGAGGAGAGGAGATGAGCGGTGCGCGAAATTTTGTGGGTTAGAAGAGGCAGAGAAAGATCGGACTTTGGCCGATAGGTTCCATATGGGGGCTCCTACCCTGTGACCTTGTTTTGTCACGGGTCTCATTCTGCCAAGGTACTGCCTTTAAAGGCAGCGTCCCGGCAAAAAGATGGGTGCCGGGTTTTTGTGACGATGTAAAGTAGGCCCCCTACCTAAGCGATGACTGAAGTTCGGAGCGAAAGAGAATGTCTACCAAGCCTGAAATTTGTCCCGGAAGTGGCCCGAATCTTAAGGTATTTGACTACTCGAATATTCGAATAGTTGAATATTCGAGAAAATCCATTTATTCGATTATTCGAATAGTCGAATAAATGAGAAAGGCCTATATTCGAATTCGTTCACTCGACGATTTCGAAAAATGACTTATGTGAATATTCGTTCATTCGAGTAGTTTTGGAAATCGTTATTCTATTCGAATATTCGACTATTGCGTTTGAATATTCGAATATTGCATTCGAATATTCGATAATATCGATTATTCGAATATTCGACTATTCGAATATTCGAATAATCGATATTATCGAATATTCGAATGCAATATTCGAGTACTCTGCGTTGATACCACTGCTT